GAAAGGCGGGAGAGGCGGGAGAGGCGGGAGAGGCGGGAGAGGCGGGAGAGGCGGGAGAGGCGGGAGAGGCGGGAGAGGCGGGAGAGGCGGGAGAGGCGGGAGAGGCGGGAGAGGCGGGAGAGGCGGGAGAGGCGGGAGAGGCGGGAGAGGCGGGAGAGGCGGGAGAGGCGGGAGAGGCGGGAGAGGCGGGAGAGGCGGGAGAGGCGGGAGAGGCGGGAGAGGCGGGAGAGGCGGGAGAGGCGGGAGAGGCGGGAGAGGCGGGAGAGGCGGGAGAGGCGGGAGAGGCGGGAGAGGCGGGAAGGAAGGGCTGTGGAGATGCGGTGGCGCGCACGGCGCCTCATCAGCGTTGGCGGTGACGTCATCTCGGGTCATCTCGGGTCATCTCGGGTCATCTCGGGTCATCTCGGGTCATCTCGGGTCATCTCGGGTCATCTCGGGTCATCTCGGGCCGTCTCGGGTGAATGCGCCTGTTCGGCGTTGACGATGACGGCGGCGTTCGCCGTCGTCTTCTTTGCAACCAGCGGCGTCGTCATGCCCTGCTCGGCCGACCTGTTCACAGCTAGAGGTGTGAAGAGACGCTGTTCACAGCTCGGCGTCGTCATGCCCTGCTCGGCCGACCCGAGGCCGCGCCCCTCCACCCACCCCATCGACTTCATCATGGCCAATCCTGCGGCGAGGAGAGGGGACAGGGTGAGGCGAGGAGAGGGGACAGGGTGAGGCGAGGAGAGGGGACAGGGTGAGGCGAGGAGAGGGGACAGGGTGAGGCGAGGAGAGGGGAAGGGCGAGGAGGAGGAGGAGGAGGAGGGGGGGGGGAGCCGCGTGCGTGGAGTGCGTGAGGCGGGCTGCCGTGACGACTACGGCGGCTGACTACGGCGGCTGACCCGGATCGCCGCTCGCGTCCGCCGCAAAACCAGGCACCGGAGGAGGCGGAGGAGGCGCCGCCGGAGCCTTTGGCAGCGGCGGAGGAGGAGGAGGCTTGCGGGCCACCGCGCCGCCGCCGCCGCCGCCGCCGCCGCCGCCGCCGCCGCCGCCACTGCCGGTGAGCGAGGAGAGAGCGCGGTCTGCTTCGGCCCTCTTCTTCCGCAGCGCCTAATCTCGGGTCATCTCGGGCCATCTCGGGCCATCTCGGGCGGCCTCGCCGCCTCGGCCGTCTTTCTTCCGCGGCGCCTCTTCGAGCTCCGCCGCCTGGACGAAGAGGGAAGGGGCCCCGTGTGCGCATTCGCTCGCAGGAGGCGAGTGCAGCGGCTCTAGCGGTCTCCGTGTTGAGGCGCCACTGCATGCGGGTAGTCTGAGTCTGTGCGTTGTGTGTGTGTGTGTGTGTGTGTGTGTGTGTGTGTGTGCACTGTGTGTGTGTGTGTGTGTGCGTGTGTGTGTGTGCGTGCGTGCGTGTGTGTCTGTGTCTGCGTGTAGGTGTTGATGCGCGTGTGCCTTGCGCTTGGCGTCGCGGTTGCGCAGCCACTCGTCAAACTCGTTGGGCTCAGCCGGGTCGTACGGCGTCTTGATGTCCTTGTACCACCCGCGCACCCCGACGGCGGCGACAACCTCGCCGCCGGACACAGAGCCACCAGAAGCAGAGCTTCCGGCGGCTGACGCAGCTGCAGCGCCACCGCCGGAAGCAGCGCCGCCGCCTCCCGCGGCGGTGCTGGCTGGCCGCTTTGACAGCGACATGGGTCGGAAGCCTGTTGCAGGCTTTGGCGGGGCCTTCTGCGGCGGTGGCGGCGGCGGCGCCTTCTTTGCCTGCGGCTTGGCGGCGGCGGGCGCGGGCGCGGGCGTGGGCGCGGGCGCGGGCGCCGGAGGGGCGCCCTTTCGCTTCAGCGCGGGTGGGCCGTCGAGCCCAGCTAGCTCGTAGAGGGACATCGTTTGCGCGGGCGTTTTTTATTTATTACTCGCTGCGGGGCTCGCTAAACGCTCGCCGAGCTCCATGCTGTGCAACACCACCTCCTCACTAATCGTCAGGGGCGCGCAGAGCGCAGTGCACTGCGGTGAGGCTGCGCAGCGGGGGCTCACCCCCTGCACCGCGCTCAGCGGCGCAGGGGAGGGCGGTCGGTGGCGGCGGCGGCGAGGCGCGAGGCGGTGGCGGCGGTGGTGCGGGCGGCGGGATGACAGGGGAGGCGGCGGGATTGACAGGGGAGGCGGCGGCCACGAGCGGAGCGGCGCGAGAAGGGGGGGGGGGCGGCGGCGAGGCGCCGGTGAGCGAGGCGCCCGCGCCATCAGAGGGACGCGCCGCTGCGAGATGGAGGGCGGCGGTGACGGAGGCGAGGCGCGAGGCGGCGGCGGCGGCGGCGGCGGCGGCGGCGGCGAACGGCGGCACCGAGTCTCGGTGAGCGGCGGCGGGAGGAGGAGCAGCGGCGGCGCTCGCTCGCTGTTGACGGGAGCGCTTTTGAGCCTGGGAGCCCATGCCACTGCGACCGGCGTGCCCGGAAACGGAGATCGCGCGCGCGCCGCCACTCACGACGCGCGCGCGATCTTCGCGGAGTCGGGTCCCCAGAGGGAAGCGGTCTTCTCGGCCGACGTCCAGCGGCGCGCAAGGAAGCAGGCGCAGCGGAGGCGGCCTAGCACCGGCTCGGCGCCGGGCGGTTGCGCTGCCCGCGAGCCGCGTCCTGAGCCTCGGCAGCGCGCTGCGCGGCGCGGCGCTCGCGCTGCTGCGGTGCCGAGAGCGGCATGATGGTAGTAACCAGCTGAAGCTCGAGACTCCTCGGGTCCGCGAGTTCCGCCGGTCACGGGGATAAACGGCGGACGACGCGAGGCCCTTATATCCGCTATAGATTCCCGGGAGGGCACGACGCCCTCTACGTGATGTGTACGCCCACTCAGGATGTGTGGCAGCCCGCTGGCTGTGTGTCTCGTGAGCTTGTTTGTGTCTGTGTGTCGCTCGTGCGTGTCGTCATCATCTGTCTTGCGTCCACCCATACCGCGTTGGTGTCCAGTCCGAGCCTGACTGTTCTTCACCTTCCTACATACATCTACGCTGGGGTGGCCGGCGCCCTACTGGGCGTTTTTTCTCAGGCCACGTGCCTCTGCACCTCGGTTCACGTGCACGAGCTTCTTGAGCCACCCACCCACCCACCCACCTCACGGCCCGGCTCTGAGGCTTGGAACCACCCACCCACCCCCACCCACCTTGGGAGGGCTGATGCGGGGTTGTGGGCTCGTCGGGTGACGGAGAAGTGTAAACTCACACACAGCTTGCGCTCTGCACCTTGGCCTTCTTTCTACCTATGGGGTGTGGTCTGAGCGTCTGACGTCTGTAGACCCTGAGAGCTGAGTTGAACTCTCAGGTTGAACTCTAAGAGTTGCACACGGGGGTTGTTTGTGGCTTGTGCGCCGGGGGCGCCCTCCCCTGCTAGCTAGCAGTGAGCTGCAGCGCGAACCGCTGTGCCTCGGCGCGCCGGCCGCCGAAATCCTCCGAGTTCTTTGGCATAGGCGAACCCCCCAAACCCTATGTAAATTTTCTTCGCCTGCGGCGGGCCATCACTTGGACTCGCTGCTTTCGGATTCGCACGCCTTTATCCGTCACTCCCCCGAAGATTGGAGGTGTTGATTTATGCACAAATCTATGTGTTGCCAGCGCTAGATGGCGAAATTTTCTTCGCCTCCGGCGGGGCCGCTCGCCGCGGGGCTAGAGAGGGACTTTTGTCGATGTCGGCTAGAAGTGCTGCACCTTTTTGAGAATTTCACCCACAGAAGCAGTGTGCCAGTGTCGTCCCCCCCTCTCACTGGGTGGCCCTCGCCCGCTGCCGCTCAGCGGCGAGGGCCGCGCTTTCGCGAGCGGGCTCGCCATTCCACCTGCGTCTGGCAAGGTCCTCGTCTCTTACGGCGTCGCCGATGCGGAGGCTCGCGCCCTCGTCATGTCCGATGCCTACCTACGTGGCCTGTTTGACTGGTGCACTGAGGATCAAGTGCTCACTCGGGCGGCGCGGGCGGAAAGCGCCGCGCCGGGCGGCGAGGAGGCGGCGGCGGCGGGCACCACGCTCAAAGGCGACAGCTGGGTCACTCTCCTGCTGGTTAGCGGCGCGCTCGGCCTCTTTTGTACTTGTAGCCATGGTGTCCCATGTGCACTCAGACAACAGCCGAGCACATGTTGAGGTAGCACAGCGCCCCCAAAACTCACCCGTGTGTTTCGCACGCGAGACGGTCTGCTTTTTGAATCTCAAACGAGAGCCTCACTTCCGTGTGTTTTCACAACGTAAATTTACGATTTGCAACAGTCTCTTTTAGCCACTGTGGAGAGAAAGAGAAATATTTTTTTGCCTGTGCGGAAGAGGCTAGTCTCGCCTTGCGGGGGGGCGTGTAGTCGAGTGTAGACCCGAGGTGACGTGTGTTCTGGCTAGAGCGCCATCATCATGGCCTCACGGGCCCGGGCGAGGTTCCTTGCTCTAAGGGAGAGGAGGAGGATTGATTGATTGATGGGAAGGCGAAACACAGTCCGACCAACGACTGGGACACCAACGCGGTATGGGTGGACGCAAGACAGGCGGTGACGGTCACACAGGAGCGACACACAGAACCACAAGACAAGACACTCAGCCAACGTGGCTGCCACACATCCTGAGCGAACTTCCCTAGTCGCCCGCGGCCGGACTCCATCCGGCACGCGTCGCTGGGCGCCCAGAGCCGCGTCCCCTGCTCGCCACCCCGACGCCCAAGGCGCCCGAGTCGAACGACAGGCGGCACGCGAAGACTGATTGCAATCCCGCCGACCGCCAGGCCTTGCTAGAGGAGGGAAGAAAAAGAAAAAATCTCGTGCTCCGCTTGTGCCGCCGCCCCCAGCGCTTTAAATAAAATTCTTTTTCACAGGCAAGAGTCGGTTACAGCGTTGCGCGCCTCCCTGGGGACGGGGATACAGTTTCGATTTGGCCTCCCCGGAGATCATCATCAGCCCGTGCAGCCGCTAGCTACAGTATTTGAGGACTCCCTAATTAGCAAGACGGGGACGGTCGTTGCCTCGGCAGCCAGTCGGCCTGTGGGTGAGGACGGCCCAATCCTCGGCTGGCGCCGCTGCGCCTTCTCCTCCAGCTATCAGGCGTGCCATGTGAGGAATGTGGCAGCGCGCTTGCGCAGGCGCAGCGCCGCGGGCTGATGCGCCTCCTCCCGCGGCGGCGAGGAGAGCTCGTGCTGCCCGTGGAGGAGTTGTCCGCGAGACACCTAGCGGTCTCAGTCTAGCGGTCTCAGTCTCGGTCTAGTCTGCAGAGGAGTCTGAGAGGTGTATGGGAGAAATCTATTGTATCGGAGGTGTAGAGCTCTATTGTGAGTGTCTCGACGGTCATGGAGGTGTCTGTGAGGAGTCGGAATCAGTTGAGGTAGAGCTCTATGTTTGAGGGGCGGCGCCGACGCTTCAGAGAGTGTGATGCTCTCCTGGTTCTTCGGCTTGATAGTGCTGACGCTTGGCGTCCTCGTCCCGCTCGGTCTGCAGGCATCTCGCCACCACATGCTCGGATTCGGGTCCCAGAGATAACCACGTGCGATCACGATGGCGCCGCTTCCGCCGCCGCCGCCCCCGCGGGCCGACTCGCGCTGCCCGCTGCCGTCGCTGGTACACCTTCAGGGCGACTGGGCCAATGTGTACGAGCCGTCCGACGACACGTACCTCCTCCTCGACGCCCTCGCCGCCGACCTCGCCGTGCTGCGCGATGCGCTGCCCGGCGTCGTGCTCGAGCTCGGCTCGGGCTCCGGCTGCATCATCACCGGGCTGGCCCAGATCCTGGTGCGCGGCGGCGTGCCGGCCGCGTCCGCCGCCCTCGTGGCCACCGACCTCAACGCGTCCGCCAACGCGGCGACCGCCGCCACCGCCGCCGCCAACAGCGTGCCGCTCGAGGTGGTGCGCGCCGACCTGCTCGGCGCAGTACGGCCTGGGACGGTCGACGTGCTGCTCTTCAACCCTCCGTACGTGCCCACCTCGGAGGAGGAGGCGGCGGGCGGGCAGGCCGAGCGCGACATCTCCGCTGCCTGGGCGGGCGGGCCCGACGGTCGCGTTGTCGTGGACCGGCTGCTGCCTGACCTCGGCCGGCTGCTCTCTGCGAGAGGGGTGCGCTACCACCACCTCGTGTGTGCTGTAGTGTGTGGAGGCGTTCCCCTCACCTGGCCTCACACCTCAGGTCTTCTACTTGCTCGGCGTGCGCGAGAACCGGCCCGACGAGCTAGCGGCGCAGGTGGAGGCGCAGCACGGCATGCGCGCCGAGCTGATCGCCGAGCGGCGCGCGCAGAACGAGCGCCTGTTTGTGATGCGCTTCTCGCGGAGCCAACCTGCCTCCGCGTGAGCGCGCCGCCGGGGGTGTTCCCTGGCAGCTGACTGCTTTGGGCGGCTTTCGTTTTCTTTTTTCAAATCATGGGCTGCTACCGAGTGGAGGCGTGGCCGATATCCTATGCATATCTGTGGTACCGACCTGCTACCGTATGCTCAACACCACAGCTCAGGTACATGTGTGGTGTGTGTCGTCGTGGTTTCGTATCAAGAATACTCATTCACACACTCAGGTATTCATCCTCACCGATATTAACACTGTAGCGGAACACCGCACTTTATCATATGACTCAAATGCCGACAACGAACGACCGCGGGCGAGGCAACAGCTCATTTTGGTCACACGTATCTCCCTGGGCGCACGTCTCTCTCCGACTCGCCACGTGCGCTCGCGCATGACGACGTGTGTGCACGGGGGGCCTCTGGTGTGAGACTATTGTGTCGAGGGATCGGGGTACATGCGGAGGCGGCTGCCGCAGAGCTCACTTTGCGATCTGGCCCGCCAGGGCGAGCGAGCGCGCCTCGACGGCCTGGATTTCGGCGTAGCCTTGCGACGAGACGGGGTTGAGGCCGTCCGACGCCTGGGGCAAGGGGGGGAGATGGGTGTCGTCGGCAGCAGGTTTTGCGGGGCCATCACAGGAGCCCCACGCGCCGGCAGATGAGGCGGAGGAGGCAGAGATGGAGGCCCGGCGGTGGCGCGGGAGGTGGGAGCAGAGGGGAAAGCCGTGGCGGCGGCGCTCGAGGAGAGCGCGAGGCTGGAGGGCGAGGCGAGGCGCGCGGCGCGCGGCGCTGGTGGACGTCTCTTCACACACAAGGCAAGGGGGGGAAGGGCCAGGCAGCCCCTCGCGACTCCACGTCCAAGACAGGAGCCGGATGGTGTTGAGAGTGGAAGGCCCGGTGCGCGTGGGTGAGCGGTGGGTGAGCGGTGTGTGAGTGGCGAGCTGCCAGTCAGTCAGCGCCCAATGCGTCAACTGCAATCTCGCGCTCCCCTCGGCTGCCTCTGGGCTGCCTCTGGGCTGCCTCTGGGCTGCCTCTGGGCTGCCTCTGGGCTGCCTCTGGGCTCCCCTCGCCTCCCCTCGGCTCCTCTCGGCTCCTCTCGGCTCCAGCTTCTCTCGAGCCATCTCGGCTCATCTCGGCTCATCTCGCGCCTCCATCGAGGAGTCGGCCTCATTGTAAAGCGAGGCGGCCACGTCGGAGAGGGAGTGAAAGTGGATGTTGCCCTTGTAGCAGCCAACCTTGACGGGGGGAGGTCGAGGGGAGGTCGAGGGGAGGCCGAGGGGAGGTCGAGGGGAGGTCGAGGGGAGGTCGAGGGGAGGTCGAGGGGAGGCCGAGAGGGAGGTCGAGGGGAGGTCGAGAGGGAGCCGAGGGGAGCCGAGGGGAGCCGGGGTTTAGCCGAGGTTGCCCTTGTGGCTCCCACCTTGACGACGCCGCTCGCGGTCTTGGTGAGCTCGTGTATCGCCTTGCGGGCCGCGACCGTCGCCGGGTCGAACCAGCGGCCGTCGTAGATCTGGTTCGAGACGAGGGAGGAGAGGTGCGCGAAGAGCGCCGCCGCCCGTCTGTCGAGGACCGCCTGTGGGGAAGGCTCCGGGAGGGTTCCAGGAAGGTTCCGGGAAGGTTCCGGGAGGGTAGGTCGCCGCTCGGTCGAGGACGGCTGGGTAGAGGGTAGGGGAGAGGAGGGGAGGGGAGGAGGGGAGGGGAGGGGAGGGGAGAGGAGAGGAGAGGAGAGGAGGGGAGGGGAGGGGAGAGGAGAGGAGAGGAGAGGAGGAGGGGAGGGGAGAGGGGGGCGGCCTGGTAGAGGTACTCGAGCGCGCGGCCGAGCAGCTCCATGCCGGGCGCCTCGTAGACGCCGCGTGACTTGGTGCCGATGATCCGGTTCTCGAGCGCGTGCGAGATGCCGAGGCCGTTGCGTCCTCCGATCGTGTTCGCGAGCGAGATCACCTCGAGCGGGGAGAGATGGGGAGAGATGGGGAGAGATGGGGAGAGATGGGGAGATAGTGTTCGCGAGCGAGATCACCTCCAGCGGGGAGAGCCGCTTCCCGTTGACGGCGACGCAGCGCGCGCCATCGAAAGTGAGCTCGACGAGCTCCTCTGCATCGGGCGCGTCTTTTGGCCACACGCCTACAGCGCCCAGAGCAGCCACAGCCTGCGATCGACGTGACGTGACGACAGCGTAGAGTCGTCTGGCCAACACGAACACCCATCTCGGGGTCGACGATCGTCATTGGCGTCTGCACCGACTCGAGGTCCTCCGCCTGTTCACAGCTGGAGGTGTGAGTAGACGCTGTTCACACGCCTGCACCGACTCGAGGTCCTCCGCCTGTTCACAGCTGGAGGTGTGAGTAGACGCTGTTCACACGCCTGCACCGACTCGAGGTCCTCCGCCTGTTCACAGCTGGAGGTGTGAGTAGACGCTGTTCACACGCCTGCACCGACTCGAGGTCCTCCGCCTGTTCACAGCTGGAGGTGTGAGTAGACGCTGTTCACACGCCTGCACCGACTCGAGGTCCTCCGCCTGTTCACAGCTGGAGGTGTGAGTAGACGCTGTTCACACGCCTGCACCGACTCGAGGTCCTCCGCCTGTTCACAGCTGGAGGTGTGAGTAGACGCTGTTCACACGCCTGCACCGACTCGAGGTCCTCCGCCTGTTCACAGCTGGAGGTGTGAGTAGACGCTGTTCACACGCCTGCACCGACTCGAGGTCCTCCGCCTATATCTCCCCATACCTCCCCACACCTCCCCACACCTCCCCACACCTCCCCATACCTCCCCATATCTACCCATAAATCTCCCCATATCTCGAGGTCCTCCGCCTCGTGCGACAGGCCGGCCAGGTTCGCGTCGGTGGAGTACTTCTTCTTCGGGCCGACAAACGCCTCGATCCCAAACTTGGACAGGTAGGTCACCATCTCCGACCGTCCCGGGAACTCCTAGGAAGGTTCAGAGACGGTTCAGGGTAAGGTTCCAGGGCCGAGCGTCTCCGGCCGGCCTGGGAACTCCTTGAGCAGCGCCGGGTCGCGCCACGGCGCGTAGACGAGCATCGACGGCGCGAGCACCTACTCGTGATTCATCCTCCACCACTCATTCACACTCGCTCAGGTGCGTCGACGGGCATCGACGGCGCGGGCCACGTTCGTGTACCGCTCGAACCGCATCTGGTCGTTGCCACGCCCGGTCGCGCCGTGGGAGAGCACCTGCACGCCGCGCTTCTGCATGGCGGTGACGAGGCCGTGGCAGGTGACGATCCGCCCGATCCCCGTCGTGTTCCAGTACCCGCCGTCGTACCGCGCCTGGCAGCGCACCACGTCGAAGCATCCCTCCGCCATCTCCGCCTTGAGGTCGACGATGACCGTCTCGACGCCGCACGTCGCCATCCGCTTGGACACCTGCGGCGTGCGGCCACGGCGCTCGGCGCAGGCGGCGCGCCCGGGCGCAGCAGGGAAGGCCAGGGAGCACACACGTTTTGGATGTCGTCCTCGTCAGGTTGACCGAGATCCGCCGAAAAGGCGAGCACCTGGACGCCCTCCTCGACGAGGCGCTTGGAGACGGTCTTGGAGTCGAGACCGCCCGACACGCACACGCCGACGAGCTTGCCGCGGAGGTCCTTTGCCGAGAGAGCCATGTGTGCGAAGGGAGTGAGCTTCAAGCTCGGGCAGCGCTGCGCCTCTTCCGGAGCTGAAACCGACAAAAAATAAGACGGCTCCCGCGGCGATCAACACCGCAACTCCTTTTCTCGTCGTCCGACTCCCAGCAGCTGATGACGCGCGAGATGTCGGTGTCGCGGAATTCGTGCGTACCGTCGCCGTTGGGACGGTCGTTGCTCGCGCCGTTGGGAAACGCAAGGCGCACCTTTTTGTTTTGAAGACCTCGATACTTAGCGCACTGCTCGGGCGAGAGCTCAAACACGTGCCGCGTCTCGTCTTCGCCGCCGGCTACGCGCACAGACACAGTACGCGGCAGCGCCGACACGTCAACCCGCGTGTACGTCAGCGACGGGTCCCGCACGCCGCACGAGGCGCATGCGTGCAGCGGCAGCGCGTGCGCCATGCGCTCGTCGCTCCACTCGCCCAGCAGCCGCCGCTTCGTCTCGTCGGAGACGTGCACGCAGCGCTGCAGCAGCGCCGCCGTCTCGTCCTCGGGCCGCTCCAGGTCCATGACGACGTTCGTCGAGGCGTGGAAGCGCGTCTCCAGGTCGATGGCCGCCTGCTCGGCCGCGGCGAGCTTGCCCTGGTCGACGCACATGCCGCACACCGCGTGCGCCGGGCAGCCGCACTGGCCGCGTTGTGGGCGCACGGTCTTGGCGACCGCCGGCGCTGCGCGCCGGTCGTGCTGCTCACGCTGCCGGCGGCGCTGGTCGCGCGCCTGCCGATCGCGCGTGTTCGCGGCGGCTGCATCTCCTGCTCGTTTCGCTCGCACCCGAGCGGCTGTCGCCAGGCGCTTCAGGTCGGCGGTGCTGCGCGCGCGGCCGTCGGCCAGGCACAGCCACATGTCCTCCTCCTCGGCAGGCTCGCACGGCTTGCCGTCGAACTGCGACTGGCGCCCGCGACGATGCTTCGCCCAGGCCGGGCACGATGGTGCCGCGACGAGCGGCGTCGAGGCGACGGCCATCGATGGGTCCAGAAGACTTGGAGACACTTCTCGACCAAAAAATCAAAAAAATCGAGCACAATTGCGTTACATGGGCATGGCCGGGGTTTCTGCACCGAACGATCTTACTTTCGGTCTATCGAAAGTGTTGATCGATAATTTTTGCGTTGGCTGGGCTGCAAATACGCAGACGCGAGTCGCGGTACCAACCAACGCCCACGACCACGAGCGTTCTAGAAGATATATCGACCACCTTTCGCCCTTCTCATCACTTCCCCGGCGGCTGCCACGCCTCGATTTTGGTCCGACAGGTCGTTCGATTCGGGCGCCTTGGGCGTCGGGGTGGCGAGCAGGGGACGCGGCTCTGAGTGCCCAGCGACGCGTGTCGGATGGAGTCCGGCCGCGGGTGTCTAGGGAAGTTCGCTCAGGATGTGTGGCAGCCAGGTTGGCTGAGTGTCTTGTCTTGTGGTTCTGTGTGTCGCTCCTGTGTGACCGTCATCGCCCGTCTAGCGTCCACCCATACCGCGTTGGTGTCCCAGTCGTTGGTCGGACCCCGCAAGGCGCGAGACACACGACTGTGTTTCGCCTTCCCATCAATCGACAGGTCTTCTCCGTGGCCCAGGCAGCCGTCCGCGCTCCCCCAGGTAAAGACGGCGCCATCGGCGGTGAGGGCGAGACTGTGTGTACGACTCGAGGAGCCAAAGGACCCACATTGCGATACAATGCTTGAAAGAGCATTCGAGTGAGTAAAATACGTGCAAATCATGGCTTTGCTGTGTGGAGGCGGACGCGCCTAAGCCTCCTGCCTTGACGCTCTCAAAACCTACCAACGCGTAACACAGAATTCACACCTCGTTCTTCACCTTGCCAACATCGCCACTCACACTGGCTGGAGGACTCGTCGGTCCAGGATGTGGGTGGCCACATTCACGTCCGCCACAGATGCGTCTGTCCGGGATGGTTGGTGCGTAAGCCAGCATATGAAGTGCAAGCTGCATCGCGCGGGTGATCCACAAAGCAAGGTCTGCTTCAAGGACAGCAGCTGCGTAAACACGCCGGCACAGGATTCAGACAGCTCTGCAGCGAGTACTGCGCAGATGGTAGGCGACTCTGCAGCGATTACTGCGCATACGCTCAACGTTTCTCCGGCGTTAGCGAGATCGAATTCGGCCAGAACGCCACGCTCCGCTCCCACACGAGGGAGGCCTCTGCACCGTGACCCCACCATCACCGACAACTCACAAACGTGTGCTGCGTTTGGATGGGAGCCACTCAATGAACGCTCCCGCACCCCACGGCGGCTCTTCTTGGGCGCTTTGATTGCGAGCGAGCCACCTATCGTGCTGCAAGCCCTCTCAGCAGAGATTGCTCATGTCGTCTCCTTCGTCTCCTTTGTGGAGCCTGCACAGACGCAGACTGGCACTCCACGAGTGCTGCAATATGGATCGGCTACACACCATGGTCGAGGTCCACAGTTCAAATGGCTGGCCAAGCTGTTCGCCAAGCAGGGCGTGGCGATCAACGTGTCATCTCCTCCTCTCAGCCAAAGGAGGTCGCTGGACGTCGAGTGGGAATGGAGAAGATCGATTGTAGACGCCTGGATCACGCACGGTATGCGGTCTCACGATGTCGGAATCATTTCCGACACGGATGAAGTGTTCACGCATGACGCACTCTGCGCTCTTCGTGACTGTGATGTGCCTCAATTTCGGCTTGACACGGCAACTCGTGACGGCTGCACGTCCCCTAAGATCCTCGGGTCAACCTTGATCATGGAAGGCTACTTTGACTGCGTGTGGGGCCGTCGGCGCTGGTATCACCCTGATGCGATGCTCGGGGCCTGCATCCAGGGGATCCCTGGCAGTCCCGTCACAGAAAAAGCGATAAGCAAAAGGGCCGCGAGGCAGAAAGAGATCGGCGGCCGCATCACACAGAGGAACAGAACAATGCGGGCCGGCCTGTGGGCTGCAGGCGACTTTCGTTTCCGGGCCGGTGGAGTGCAAATGTCCTCAAAGGTGGCAAGCGGCTTCCACTTCCACAACTTTGGTTCTGAGAGGTGGCTGCGGCATAAGTATCGGACGTACGGCCATCCTATCAAGGATGCAGATTCTCGTCCGCTTCAGTCACTACACAGGGATCTCAACCTGAGCCTCCACTGCAAGATGGGCATATCTCATCCAGACCGCTCCAATTCCCATTATACCTACGATTATGGTTTCAGGACCCTCAAAATTGGTGCTCAACCCTTGCCGCGACTTGTGCGCAACGCAATGAGATGCTCGCAGATGGCCACGGGAAGCAGCTCACCATTCAGCATCTGCAACGCGACATATATTCAGACCTATTTCTCGAATGAAAAATTTGGTAGATAGAAGGGTGTCGAACAGTCGAAGAAGTCTGTACGATGTCTGGTTCCCTCACCGTTCGAAGCACCGTGTGAAGATGGCCGGTGTTCCACGCCATTTTAGCCTGCTGCACTCAGCGGTGACTCCTATTCACAGTGCACCCCCGAGGTATTTTCAGCGTGAACCTGCTTGACAACTTCACTCTGCTGCGATCTCTGTGTGCTAAAAATTTGCGGCGCGCTTTGCGCACCGTACAAGTCTGTGAGCACACAACAAGTCATGATATCGTATCGCAGTCTGATCAGCCGCATAGCCGCAAGCTAAAACTCCGTGTAATGCGGTTTGGGTAGGTATGTAGATTGTACCTCGAGCTACAGTAGCGGCGTGACGGCAGAGAGAGTGTCCCAAATTAGGCGGCGTGGCCGATGCATCATTTCGTGTGACTCGAAATGCGTGGAAACCAGAGGTATGAATTCGCATCCATGAAAGTCCCGTGCTCGCTTCCTTGATTTCACGGACATGTGAAGGCATGGACGTAATCCATGATTTCACGGACTTACACAAAGTGTGATGCAGACTTGATGATGGTGGCCGCGTCATCGTCAGCGTAGACGCGGATCGTGTCTCCCGGCTGAGGGTGGTTCTCCATGCCGCACTGAAAGCAGACACGCCATGGTGTCACTGCGGTCTCTCGCATGTGCGTTGCAAGCTTGTTCCACGTCGGAGTGTCGAGCTGTCGACGGGCAGATGCGTCTCGTCGGCGTGCTCCGAGTGATTTGACGAGATCAGGTTGTTGACGAGTTGCAAGTGCTCGGGGGCTCGCGCTCGAGGGTTGTGCGCCGGATCCTTGACCTGACGCCTATGAGTTGTGCACACACTGAGTGTACCAGATGCGGGTGTGTGGGCATGACACGGGGGGCATGGCTGACCATCGCTCCCAGTACTGGTCGACGTCACTCGAGACGACGATGAGACGCGGTGAGCGGTTGTACAGGTCGAGCTCGCCGACTGTCTGCTCGGAGTTGTCGAGCAGCTGCTCGATCTCCGCGCCGGTCCACGAGGGGCCAGGCGTCGTATTTGTCGCATCAGACTGCTCCTCTGGCGGTGCCAGGTTGTGAGCTGATACGTTTCGCTCGTCGCCTTCGATGGTAATGATGCACGTCGAATTGATGTCATCTACGTCGTCGATCCGGGCTCGACGAGGGGCCGCCGTCGCGGTGGAAACGAACCATACTTTGTCACCTTTGTTCATCTGCACGACTTGCGGTGTGCTTGGCACGCCATCGTCCGTCGCCGCATCAGCTGCTGGCTCGTCGCGACTTATCGTCGAGTTGGCCGGCAGTGGCGGGCGAGGGCGATGCATGGAAAGAGTTGACTTGGAAACGGTCGTGCTGTAGTCGTCGATGCGGATCTGGGGGAGAAGTTTGGTTGCACAGTGTCACCGAGTCCGAGAATCTACAGTACGGCTCTACACATTGTACAGAACTCTGCGCGGTAGACTCAACTCTCACTCTGCGTCACGTAAGGGACCCCCAATCGGATGTTTAACCGATTGCCGATTATGAGAGGGCCGCGTCGGCGGTCGGGCAGAGGAGGGCCTCTCCCTCCTCCACCGAGCTCGCCTTCTCGCCGGCCGGCTGGAGGAGGTTGTTCCACAGCCCGCGCGCAAGTAGCTCCTGCACCGCAGCCGAGGACCCGACATGAGCCGAGAGGAGCCGAGAGGAGCCGAGATGGGCCGAGATGGGGGGATGGGCCAAGCAGGAGGAGAGCAGGAGGAGAGCAGGAGGAGAGGAGGAGGAGAGCAGGAGGAGAGGAGGAGGAGAGGAGGAGGGGGAGAGGAGGGGGAGAGGAGGAGGAGGAGGGGAGGGGGAGAGGAGGGGGAGGGGGAGCCGCTCCTGTCCCGCGGCGGAGGGGTGGAAGCAGTCGTCCGAGACTAAGTGCGTCGCGCTGAAGACGGTATGCTGCGCAAACGGCTGGACGATGAAGGTCGTGCCTGGCGAGGGGGGAGGAGGAGAGGCGGCTGGCATCGCGTCGGGGGTCCTCCCCCGCCCCGTGGGCCGCGCCGCGTGCCTTGGCCGCGTGTCGAGGCGTGCGCGTCGCCGTTGAACTCGGCCACCAGCTCCACCAGCTTTCCGTTGTACTCCCCGACCCGCTGCCTGGCGACGGCCAGGTCAGACGCCCAATTGCCTATGGGGAGATGTGGGGAGACATGGGGAGATATGGGGAGAGATGCTCAAGTCAGACGCCCAGTTGCCCATGCACGGGCAGACGAGCGCGAGGAGGACGTCGCAGTACAGGTTGCCGAAGAAGCCCCAGTCGACGCCCGCGAGCTGCGTGTAGTCGGCATGCAGCGGAACGTTGACCACAAGCCGCGGCACGGCCGCCAGCGTTTCGAAGGCGGGCCGCATCTTAGCGGCGTACTCGTCGGCACTGACATCGCCGCCATCCTTGCACACGTTGCAGAGGTCGTTGCCGCCGAGCAGCATGGTGACGAGCCTAGGGGTGTGAGCGCCGCATCTTGCAGCCGCGTGCTCGGCCTCGCGTGAGTACACGAGATATGGGGAGATGTGGGGAGATGTGGGGAGATCGGCCTCGCGTGAGAGCGACGGCGACGCTGGGGCAGCGGCTAGCGCGTGAGCGCCGTATGGCTGCGGCGGGCGGTCGGCGAGAGCCAGCCTCCGACACCACCGTGTGGCTTCGGTGCAGGAGTGCAGGGGTGCCCCGCGCATCTAGCGAGACGAGCTTCCACGTGGTTGCGTACGCGGCGCCGCCCAGCAGCGACTCCGCCTTCGCGACTAGCCCCACCGCCTGCGTCAGCGCCTCTTTCGCTCTCGCGCCCGACTGAGCCACGTTGAGGCCCCGCGCGCCTCCGCCGCCCGTCGACGCGCCTGTCCGCGGCCGGGCGGCGTGAAGAGGCGCCGCGCTCGCGGCCCTCGCTCTCCTCGCGCCCCCCGACCGCCCGTCGACGCGCCTAGGACGGCTCCGCTCGCGCAAGCCTCGCCGAGCAGGTTGGGGAGCGTGCGCGCCGCGCGAGAGCAGCCGCCGCAGTCGGAGCAGTCGGTGCCAGCCTGCGACACGGAGAGGGGGGGAGGGAGGGGTCCAAGAGCGGTCGAAGAGAGGGTCGCTACAATGCGACTAAAGTTTGCGGTGGCATCCTCAGTGCACGTCCGCAGCTAGCCGGAGGAGGGGGAGGAGGCGGAGGAGGCCCCCTGCACCTCGCACTTGCCCGTCGTCTGGGCGGGCTCGTTGCAGACGCCGTTGTTGGCGCAGCCCTCCTGCCACCACAACCAGCCGCAGGACGCGTCGCACGAGTCGTCACGCGCACTGCTCCCGACCGCCCACGCGAGCTCAAACCACTCCGCCATGCCCGCGCACCCTGCGCCGTCGCAATCCATGTTCACGGCCGTCGTCAGGCTGTCGCCGATGGCGCCGACGAGCCCGATGGAGCAGGGGTGGGGGTGGGCGAGCCGCGAGGCCGCGGCGGCGGAGGCGGTGACCTCGGCGCACCACCCGTCAGGCCCGACCGTGGTCGATTGCGGCGGCGGCGGCGGCGGAGGCGGCGGCGGGGACGGAGAGGGCGGTGGCGGCAATGGGGAAGGCGGTGGCGGCAGCGGGGTAGGTGGCGGGAGGGGCGGCGGTGGCAGTGGCTGCGGCGACAGAGCCGGCGGCTGTGGCGACGGGGATGGCGATGGCGGCGGGGACGGCGGAGGCAGAGGCGGAGGTGCAGGCGATGGAGACGGCGGCAGCGGGGACGGCGGCGGCAGCGGCGGAGGTGGTGGCGGAGGAGACGGCGGGGGCAGAGGCGGAGGTGGGGGCAGAAGCGTCGGAGACGGTGGGGGTGGCGACGGGGGTGGCGGCGGCAAGGGCGGAGGTGGCGGCGACGGGAAGGGCGGCGGTAGTGGGGACGGCGGAAGAGGAAGAGGGGACGGCGGGGGAGGGGAATTCGGGGGGGGTCGAGAGAACCAACTTCCCATCGGCGCACCTGTGGGCGTCATCACGTGGCGCGGTGAGTAGAGGAGAGCAGAGAAGCACGAGGCCCCAGGCCTCGGCCCAGGCGTGAGCGCAGATGTGGCAATGGAGGCTGGCCGTGTGCATGCGTGCACAGCAAGAGAGGCGGCCGAGCGTTCAGTGACGACCGCGCCGAGATTCTCTGGGACACATCACGGCGAGACGTCTCGTGTGGCAGTGACGTTGGATGTGAGGCGTAGGCAATCCGGGCGACTTTGGAGCAAACCGGGCCCGAAGATCGCCGAGAAGGAAGAATTCAACGAAAAGAACTCTCTCTCCCGCACACAGGTTCGACACAGGTACGCCACGGTACCAAAAGAGGCACAGTCGCGGGGGTGCCTACACGAAGGCGTCGAGGTGGGCGAAGGGGGGAGGGCGGCAATCGCCCTCACCCTTACGACGCCCACCCCGGCACTCCCTGTCAACCCACACCTCCTTCTCAAGCGCAATCGCCCTGCGCTCCGCCTCCGCGGCACGCTTGCCCGCCTTCTTCGCCGAAGGGAAGAATTTCACAACAAAAGGCTCTCGCACACGCACGATTCACACAGGGAAGAATTACACAAAACTCCCTCGCACAACACTGGGCACGGGACTGGCGCGCACTGGCACTAACAGTAACACAGGTACACCACGGGAGCCGCCTAAGCGACTCCTGCGAGGCCGAGGGTGGCGAGGCACTTAGCTCCGTGCACCCGCCCACCCCCGCCACAGGCAAGCTCATTCACGACCTGCTCTGCGATGGCCGAATTTAAAGACAAGGTAGGAGCTTTCGCAGGACGCAGCCCGGCACGAGGAACATGTCGCCGTAGATGATGACGAACTCAGTGACCGCCCACAGCCGCGCGTAAGCTCGAAGGAGGTCATGCTGAGAAGGATGCGGCACGGCCTTGCTCGGTGCCATGCGCTTTGAGCCAGCTAGTTCACGACTCGCCCGATCGAGAGGGGTGCAGCTGAAAAGAAAAAAAGGAAACCAGCGTGCAGGAGAAAAGACGAGCTTGCTGTGTGTTGTGTTGTGTGGGGTGTGCGGGGTGCGGGGTGTGTTTGCGGGCATATCTGCCCTTATTCGAAGGTGTCGAGGTGGGGAAGGGGGGGGGGGGGGGGCGTCACCCTACTTTCCAAGACCTCGTGAGGTGCAAGAGGCGCAAGCAAAGCATCTGGCGGGGGCCGTCAGCCTTCCCAAAGAGGCCAGGAAGGCGGCTGGGCGAGGCGACGAGGCGGCGTTGCTGGCTTGGCTTGAAAGCGGTGGGCGGGTCAATGCGACTTGCGGGGTAGACGATGTGAGCGGCGTCACCGCGCTGATACTCGCCGCTGGCAACGGCCACGAGCGGGTGGTCGAGCTGCTGCTTCGGCGCGGCGCGGCGATAAACCTGCAGGACAGCATCGGCGGCACCGCGCTGATGCTCGCCGCCCACAATGGCCACGAGCGGGTGGTCGAGTTGCTGATTCGGCACGGCGCGGATGCCAACCTGCAGAGCAGCGACGGCCGCACCGCGCTGATGTGCGCCGCCAGCGGCCACGAGCGGGTGGTCAAGCTGTTGCTTCAGCACGGTGCGGATGCCAACCTTCATAACAGTAGCGGCGTCACCGCGCTGATGTTTGCCGCCACCAACGGCCACGAGCGGGTGGTCGAGCTGCTGCTTCGGCGTGGCGCGGCGATAAACCTGCAGGACAGCAATGGCATCACCGCACTGATGCACGCCGCTGGCCAAGACCACGAGCGGGTGGTTGAGCTGCTGCTTCAGCACGACGCGGAGGTCGACATGCAGAGCAGCACCGGCGTCACCGTGCTGATGTTTGCCGCCACCAACGGCCACGAGCGGGTGGTCGAGCTGCTGCTGCAGCACGGCGCGGAGGTCAACTTGCAGACCAGCAACGACCAAACCGCGCTGATGGGCGCCGCCAGCCGAGGCCACCCCGCCATCGTGCTCCGCCTGCTGCAGGCGGGCGCGGATGCAAAGCTGCGCACTGTGGACGGCAAGTCCGCGCTGCAGCTGGCCAAGGAGAGAGGCCTCAGCGCGTGCGTCAAGGCCTTCCGGCAGCACATCGCGGAGGTGACTGCGAGCCAACGTGAGGCGGCGGCGGGCGGCGCTACCTCGGGCGAGGGGGCGGCCGGAGCGAGTCCCGCGGCCTCTTCCGGCTCACTGGACAGGCTTCCCGAAGTGGCCTGGCAAGCGGCTGAGCGAGGCGACGAGGCGGCGCTGCTGGCGTGGCTTGACAGCGGCGGACGGGTCAACGCGACTTGCTTGGCGAGCGATGCGAGCTGCATCACAGCGCTGATGCTCGCCGCCCACAATGGTCAGGAGCGAGTGGTCGAGCTGCTGATTCAGCACGGCGCTGAGGTCAACTTGCAGAACAGCAATGGCAGCACCGCGCTGATGGGCGCCGCCAGCCGAGGCCACGAGCGGGTGGTCGAGCTGCTGCTGCAGCGCGGCGCGGACGCCAACCTGCAGAATAGCAACGGCGGCACCGCGCTGGTGTACACCGCCAATAACGGCCATGAGCGGGTGGTCGAGCTGCTGCTGCGGCGCGGCGCGGATCCAAACCTGCAGGACAGCGATGGCGACACCGCGCTGATGCTCGCCGCTGGCCATGGCCACGAGCGGGTGGTCGAGCTGCTGCTGCAGCGCGGCGCGGAGATCAACCTGCAGGACGGCAAAGGCTACACCGCTCTCATAATCACCGCCCGCTACGGGCACGTGCGAGTGGTCGAGCTGCTACTGTGGCGAGGCGCAGATGCCAACCTGCAGAACAGCTACGGCGAAACCGCGCTGATGACCGCCGCCGCCCAAGGCCACTCCGCCGTCGTGCGGCGCTTGCTGCGGGCAGGCGCGGATACGACGGCGCGCACTACGAGCGGCAGGACGGCGCTGCAGGTCGCCAAGGAGAAGGGTCACGCCGAGTGCGTGCGCGCCCTCGAGGAGCATGCGGCGGCAGAGGTGGAGGCGGTGGAGGCGGCGAAGGAGGCGGCGCGGGCTGCAGAGGCGGCGGCGAGGGCGGCGGAGAGGGCGGCTGAGGAGAAGGAGGCGGCTCGGAACGCCAAGGAGCTCCTAGCGGAGGTTGAGGCTGAGAAGCGCGCCAAGGGCAAGAAGGGCAAGAAGAAGAAAAAGGCGCGGCCCGGGCCGTCGCAGGAGGCCGAGGCGGTGGCGGAAGAGGCCGAGGCGCCGGTTGAGAATACCGGGGCAGCCATGGCCGAGGCCGCGAAGGCCGCGAAGGCCGCCGACGAGGAGAGGTTGCTCGAGCTTCTCGCAAAGTGTCACGAGGAGAGGATCCGGCTCGGCATCACGGCGGAGAGCCAGGCGGCGGCGTCGGCTCAGGTGGCCCAGGCGGCGCGCTTGGAAGCTGAGGCGGACGAGGCGGAGGAGGAGGCAGAGGCAGACGATGAGGAGGCGGCGGCGGCCGTGACAGCGCTGGCGGATGTCGAGGCGGCGAGAGCGGAGGCCAGGGCGGCGTTGGAGAGGATTGAGATGGAACTCGAGGAGGCAGCGGCCACTGCAGAGGCGAGGCTTGCCGCTGCGGCCGCTTCGAGGGCCAGGGCTGCCGCTGCCAGGATGGCGGCCGATGCAGCCCAGCACTCATAGAGGGCAGCCGCTCGCATGGAGACTGGCGGTATCCGCTTGGCCGACTCTCGGCCATCGCACAGCACATGGCTCATGGGCACGGGACTGGCGCGCACTGTGGCACTAAGTGCCTCTCAAAAAAACTGTTCAGTTTTCAAAGGCAAAACACAACGCTCTGCGGTTGGTGCACCCCTCACACTGACACATTCCCCTCATTCCCTACCCTTGGCTGAGCACATCTACCTGCGAGCTAGCATCTCCGCATTTTCTCTTCCAGTCATCCGCCCGCGCCGCGCGCCATCACTGGGCGTCTAGTGCAGCCACTGACAGAGCTATTCCGAAGGAGTGGTCGACGCCTCGCCTAGAGTTCGGGTGGACTTGCGCACTGCTTAGCCCTGAGGGGGGAGTGTGTGTGAGGTGGTGTAATGTTAAGTGCCTCTCGTTTAGAAGGAATGTTACAACAAAACTCTCTCACACGACACTCGACACTAGGCACGGCCACGGGACTTGGCGCGCACTAGCACACTAACACAGGTACACCCCCATGGAACAATAACGCACTCTCTCGCACAAATACTTGGCACGTGGGGCTCTGGCGCGCGTGTTAGTGTCAGTCAGCAGTGCGCGAGAAGAAATCCCTGTGTGGTGGCAGCGTGCCGTTCTCCCAACCCTCCTACTTGACGGAGGTTGACGGCTCTAGCCTCTACCTACATCTCGTGTATATGCCGTACCGTGCGCAAGGCGCATGCGCGTATCAACTATCGACTATCGTGTACTCCAGAACTGTATGCACCACCATTCACGGATGAGAGGCAGAGCTTAGAATACGCTGAACATGATGTGCATCTAATTGAACAGACCGGTCCGTGAGCAGTCTTCGCCGTCAGGCGCCGTTCTCTTACACGTGGCTGGCGAACCGACTACTCGCGGTCGAGGTCGAGGTCGTCGAGGCCGAGGTCGTCGAGGTCGCTCGCGCCCTCCTCGGCGTCGGAGATACTGCTCGCATCCGAGGCCCTCGACGCGTCGAGGTCGTCGAGGTCGTCGAGGTCGAGGTTGAGGTCGTCGAGGTCGAGGTCGCGCCCGGTAAACTTGTGCGTCTGGTCGACCTGAATAGTCCACGTCTTCTTCCCCTTCTCGCCACGCTCGTCCAGCTCTTTGCGCAGCCGCTCCGCGCGGCGGCGATAGGCATCCCTCAGCAAGGCGGCCTCGGCCTTCATGATCCCATTGTCGTTGAGCTGTAGCGACGTGAGCGTCGAGTTCGATTTGAGCGCGTCGCCCAGCGCGGCGCAGCCGGCGCCGAGCGCGCAGTAGTTCAGCTCGAGCTCTCGCAGCGACGCATTTTTCGCGATACCGGCGGCAAGGTCAGCGCACGCGTCGGGGCCCAGCTTGTTCTCCGACAGGTCGAGCTGCGTCAGCGAGGTGCTCTCGCCGATCGCGCGCAGCGCGGGAGCCACGCCCGCGCTCAACTTGTTGTCGCTCATCTTGAGGACCTGGAGCGTGGTGTTGCCCCTGAGCGCCTCGAGGACGGCCGCGCCGCCCTCGTCGCCCAGCGCGCAGTCGCTGAGCTCAAGCTCCGTCAGCGACGTGCTGGCGGCGAGGCCCTTGCCCAGCGCCACGCCGCCCTCCTCGATCAGGTTAGACTGGATGTCAATCCTCTTGAGCGTCACGCTGCTGGCCAGCGCCTCGCCGAGCGCGTTGGCAGCAGCCGCGTCCAGCTCGTTGCTGGAGAGGTTGAGCTCAGTGAGGCCGCAGTCGCCGACGGCGGCGCAGATGGGCAGCGCGCCCGACCCCAGCTCGCAGGAGTCGAGCTGCAAGCTGGTGAGCGCCGGGTGGCCTTTCAGGCGCTGCGCCAGGCCCGCGCCAATGTGGGGCCCGCACTCGGCGCAGGAGAGGTTGAGCGTGGCCAGCGACTTGCAGTCCAGCAGCGGCGGAAGCAGGCCGCTGGCCTCGCCATTCTTCCACTCCTGCGAGGAGAGGTCGACGCTAGTGAGGCTCTTGCTGCGCCCCACTGCCGAGGCGATGGCCTTGGCGACGGCTGGGATCTCGGCAGGGCGCATCAACTCGAGGTTGCAGTTGGCCTCGAGCACCAAGAGCGAGGGCGCGTCCTCGACCATCCTCGCGAGGGCGATCCAGCCCGCCTCTTGCATCGCCGAGTCGTTGAGCTTGAGCGTCTTGAGCCGCTTGTTCCCGGCGAGCGCGGCGCACAGCGCCGTGGTGCCGTCGGCCAGGATGTAGTTTGCCGACACGTCGAGGCTGGTGAGGCTCGAGTTCTTGGCGAGCAGCTTACAGAAGGTGCCGAAGTGCGTGCCGTTGTACGCCTCCCGCTCATCTGCGGCCTCGATGCCGCACAGCTTGTTGTTCGACACGTCGAGCTCCGTGATCGAGGTGGCGCCCGCGATGCCGTGGCCGAGGTACACCGCGCCTTCCGGCCCCATCTCCTCGCCGCTCGCCTTCAGGCTGTGCAGCGCCTGCGAGCAGCACATGAGCACGGAAAGCGCACCTGCGCCGCCCGCCTTGAGGTTGCTCTTCATCGACCTCACGTTGAGGTCCGAGGCCGACAGCAGCGCCGGCAGGTTGGGCGCCGCCATCTGCAAGCGCTCCCATCCGTTAGGCAAATCGCTAACCGCGTTCTTCGCCTGCACCGCATCCTTCATTCGCATCAGCATGTTGGCTTCGTTGTTGTAGTGCTCGGGCGGATGCGACGTCGACTCGGCCAGCATGTCTCGCAGCACGCTCTTCGCATAGCCGGGCAGATCGAAGGCCGCCTCCGCCCCGTCGGTGAGCTCCCTGAGCTCGGACCACGCCGTCTGCGTCATCTCGTGGGCCAGTTCGAGCTGCATCGACTCGCACATGTCCATGCACAGCTTGCGCCGCCGTGAGACGACCTATCAACAACATTTCGACCGCATCGCTCGTATCCGATCGCTCTGACCTCTCTGCCCTCTCGGAGACGACCTGCTCGATGGTCAGCGCGGTGAGGTTGACCGAGAGGCGCGTCTCGACAACGATGACGCCGCTCTCCACCCTCGTGCCGAGCACCTCGAGTCCCGTCATAGGGGCGAAAAGGATTTCGGACTCGTGAGGGTATTGGCTCAGCCACGAGAGCGAGGCGCCGCGATCCACCATCCCCATCTGAATCTCGAAGCAGAGACCCGCCCCGCCGCTCCCCCCGTAGTGGAGCGCCACCTCCTTGTCGAGCGTGGTCGACATGAACGCGAACTCGACGCCGCCCGCGACGTTCCACTCGTTCTTGGCCCAAAACTCGCTCGGCAGCACGCCGCCGCTCACGCCGCGGTAGACCTTTTGCGCGGTCATGATCTTGGAGAGCTTGACGCACGCTGAGTTGATGATGTGCAGCGTCGTCGTGTAGTTGTTGCCCAAGCACAGCTGCTCCAGCTTCTGCACAAAAAAGGGAGCCTTCCCGCCCAGGCCGCGCAGGATCGCGTTGTATCTGCGCGCGGGGTCGGAGGAGGAGGGGGGGTGGGGAGGGGGCTGTGGGCTGGCTGAGTGGGGGGGCTGGGAGCTGGCTGGGAGGTGGAGCCGGCGCAGCGGTGGCTCACTTGATGAACATTGGCCCGGTGTACAGCCGCGCTCCCCAGAACTCCTCATCGCAGAGCGAGGTGCAGTCCTGCGTCGCAAGCTGCTCGTTGACCCGCTGCAAGTCGATCGCGAAGTCAGAGAGCGGGCGGGGCTTGCGGCAAAGGCTGCGCGTGTCCTCCCTCTCGCGCAGCTTGGTGTCCTCGGGCCACGGGTGCTTGCTGCCCGGCCCAAAGTCGGTGTGCTCCGGGTCGACCACGAAGTGATACTCCGTCTTCGCCGTCGTCGTTGTCCCATAGTTGCCCGCGTTGAAGGGGAGCCCGGAATCGGCCGAGTCACAGTGCTCCCGCTTCATCGCCTCCCGCAGCTTGGGGTTGGGCGTCCCGATCAGGCCCTCCAGCCCGCCGAAGAAGGTGTCCAGCCCTCCGTACGACATGGTGAAAGACTCGCCCTCCTGCACGAACTTTGCGTGTAGCTCTGCTCCGGTGGCGCCGCCCGAGGCGATGAGGGTCGACGCGCCGTCCCAAACAGCGTCGGCGATGCGGTCGAGCAGGTGAGGACCAGCCTGGCGGAGGAGCGCGGCCACCGACTCGCGTGAGCCGAGCTTACCTAGCGCGCGCACGAAGGGTAGCGCCAGCGATGCGTCGGCCGAATCGAGCGCCAGTGATGCGTCGGCCGAGATTGGCGAGAGGAGCGCGGCGGCGATGGCGTCGTTCAGCCCGAGTGAGTTTAGCCATTGCCCCATCTGCCACTCCTGGCTCGGGTCGCCCTGTGCCGATGGGGCGGCGAGCCTGGCTTCCGCCACGATCCGAAGTATGTCGGCCGACTGCTCCGCCCGCTGGACATCATGGACCAGCTGCATCGGCCCTCGGGCTTGCTTGCTTGCCGCAGAGCCCATCTCCGCGTCGGCCGCATCGTCCTGCCGCTTCGCTATCGCGTCGTCAAGCTCCGGATTATCTGGCTTCAGCTGCTGTTGCTGCAGCGAGACGGACTTGCTTGAGAGAGAGCCCGGCTTACTTCTGCGGAGCAAGCCCATCCCTCACGGCTCTCGTTCGAGCGCTCTTGAAGTTGAGAAGCTGTCGGGTCTGAGTGTCGGGCGATTGCCGAGCAGCCGCATGAATGACACTGTCACGTCCCGAAAAGAAGAAAAAGCTTGCCCGAATTCCGGCGTTTTTCACATTTCTCGTCCTATTACACTATTAGTACCGTGTGCTCTCGAGAGCCGCATCATGGCTTAAGTCTGCGGACTAAAAAAGAAAGAAAACAGACTCCAAGTGCCCCAACTCTAGCAGGGATGGGAGGACGGCACGCCGCCACCACACAGGGTTAAGGAGAGGGGTGTGATGCGCTAGCCGTCGCCCACCCTTGGGCGTCCGCCTCTTCCTATCTCTCTTCGCAGGTCCCTCGACCTGTAAAGAATTTAGACAATGCAGACAGGCTCGACACCTGTAAAGAATTTTCCAATGCAGGGACTTCAAAAAGGGAGAGGTGTGTCCAATGTATGTGGCTCTTACGTACATTCCCGGAGGAGGACTGCTGACAGGGTTTGCGATGAGGAGTGACCCGAAGGGTTGCTCGGGGTTAGTGCACCACTAACCGCCTCTGCAAGAGCACTGCGCCTCAGCGCTCAGCGGGCTCATACTAGCACCCACCTATTGGTTCTTGTAGGGTTTGACCAGAGAAACTTTTTCTTCCGATGTCCACCCCGCCGCGCCGCTCGCGCCGCTCGCGCCGCTCGCGCCGCCTCGCCAGACGCCACCGCCGCCGCCGCCGCCGCGCCCTCGCCAGACACGCCGCCGCCCGCCCGCCTCCTCGACCTCCCCACCGATACAATTCCACACAACACGGTTGAATTCTCTTATTCTATGTCGCTGTCGTGGGATCGCTTGTCATGTGAGAGAGTGCGTTGTCTTCTTGAAATAAAGAAAACAGACAACCCAAGGGAGGGATGGGGAGGACCGGACACGGCACCACGTCGCCACGATCACGAGGGAGCAGTGTCTGCCAGACCCAGCTCGCTCACACGTCACAGCTGGAGAGGGGCCAGCTCAGTGCATGTGCGTGAGCCGTGACTGCGCCGGTGTGCTGTGAAGTGTGATGAAGCTCCTCGCCTCTCTCGCGCCTGAGAAGGCGTCGGTGAACTGTGTTTCTTTGTTGTTTTTGCTACTTCGTACTTGCAATCACGAGTGTAGGTTCCCCGCGGCCCGCGCCGGATGTATAGAGCTCTACAGCTCTACAGCTCTACACACTACAGCGCTCTACAGCCCTGCAGCTCTACAGCGCTCTACACTCTACATCCTCTACACCCTCCCTCAGGGTGGGTCATGGCGCGGTCATACACTGCTCACCGTAACACTGCCCCCGTCGATCGAGGAGGACTTGCGGTGCTCGCGCAGCTGCTCCCGGTTATGTGGGAGAGAGAGATGCCAGGTGCGTCGCAGCTCGCCGAGGCTGCGACGGGTGCGTCTGTCGATCAACAGCGCGAGCCTGGGCGAGAATGGTGCGCGCGAGTGTCGAGACTCGCGCAAGAGGGTGTGTGTGCGCGGGGGTAGTGGTGGTGGGGTTTGGCCGATTGTTTGGGAGACGCCGAGGGGGGTGCGGTGGGACGCCGCGCACCGTCCTGCCTGCGCCGCGTGTCGCCTCCACCGAGACCGCAACGTGAACACCTTCCATGCGTCCATGCACGAGCGCAGCCGCACCGCCGCGCCGGCGCGCAACCGGACGCAATGGCCGACTCCAGACGCGCCAGCGGCGGCCGCATCAGCGGAGGCCCCGACACCGCCGCCAGCCGCCGCGAGCCCGCCGTCGACAGCGCGTCGCAGCTGCTCATTCTCGTGGAGCAGCTCCGACAGCGCATCCCACTCCGCCACGCGAGCCTGACGCGAGGGCACGGACGCGTGTCAAGGGGGCAGCTGGTCAGCTGGTCGAGGTGGCCGCTGGTCAAGGGGGCCGCTGGTCAAGGGGGCCCTCCTCCCGATGCCTCCCTCCCGATTCCGACAGGGAGCGAGCGAGCCTGCAGGAAGGCTCGGCCTGCCATACCTCCAGAGTGGTCGAATCCAGTGTGGGTTTAGTCCCGTGGGTGGTGCGGTGGCCTGCGAGAAGGCTCGGCCGTCCACGAAGCCGTCGCCGCCGCGCCCCTCCCTCCCGTCTCGGACCGCTGTCTCGAGTTGCGGCTGCGTCAGTACCTCGACGCTCCCGTCCAGGTACCGCACATGGAAGCGGAGCGCCTGCAGGAAGGCTCCAGGAAGTGTCTAAGAGCTGTCTAGGAGGTGTCGAGGTACCGCACACGGAAGCAGGACGCCTCTGCCGCACCAGCGGCGACGCCGCCACCCTCGCCGCCGACACCCAGCCCGCCGCCGCCGAGCCCGCCGCCGCCCTCGCCTCCGCCGCCGCCGCCGCTGCCTCCAAGAGGCAGCGACAACGTCACCCGGTCCACGACCCTCCCTCGCGACGCGCTTGCACTCTCTCCTTGAGCCCCGTCCGCCGGGCCGGCACAGAGAGGCCCGCCGCCCGCTCGAGGGCTGCGCGCATCGCGGCTGCTGCTGCGGCACACCTTTGTGGCGTCGGTCGGGCTGGCGGCTTCCGTCGGGCTGGGCGGCCCACCGCTCGATACGGACGGCCCCTCTTCTAGCCGCAAGGTGGCGGCGCGGCGCGACCGCTCGGCCTGCCTCTGCTCCCGGTGCGACTGCTCGAGCTGCCACTGGCGCTGCTGCAGGAGGGCGAGCCCCCGCCTACCATACCTCCATAGTCTCGAATCCGGTGTGGGTTTAGTCCTGTGGGTGGTGCGGTAGCAGGGTGGCGAGCCCCCGCCTGAGGAGGCTGGAGGAGGCTAGGGTGGGTGGGTGGAAAGGGGCGGGGCCCGCCGCGAGCGGGCAACACCGCGGGCAGCCAGTGAGGCGGCGGCGGCGGCTTGGGGCTGGAGAGGAGTGCGCGCCGCTGCTGCTGCCGCCGCTGCCGTCGCTGAGCTTCGAGGTGCTCGACCCGCCTATCGAACCGTAGGGCGTGAGCACGAGAGCACGCCGTTCCTGCCTTCTGTGCGCGGGCGCCTCTGCGCTCGCAGCACCGCGGCGGTCGCCTCAAGCTGCCGCCGCCAGAGCTCGTGTCGCTGGCTGTCGACACTCGCACTCAAAGATTGCGCCGCCGCCGCCGGCGGCGGCGGCGGCGGCTGTGTGACCGGTTTAGGCGGTGCTGCCGCCCGACTGGCGGCGGCGGCGGCGCGCTCGGCAGCCGCCGCATCACGCCGCACCGCCTCGCGCCGCACGGCAGAGCAGTGGTGCTCTCGGGCAGCAGAGTCTGACGACGCCGTCGAGAGTCCACGCCGCTCGAAGCACCTCGCCTCCGTCGAGGCAGCCCGAGTCCCTCGAAGCTCCCGATAGCGCTCCAACGCCATTCGGCCCCTCCCCCTCTCCCGCGACGCCCCCCCTTCCTCGTCCACGCCGCCCCCCCCCGCTGCCTCCCCCCTTCCCGTCCCGCGCCCCGAGCCCGGGCGCCTCCTCTCCACACCCCGCGCACAGCACCCCCCCATTCGCGGAGAGCACCCACCCCGTCCTCTTCATGCAGCCCCGGGCTGTCCGTCCCGTCCGTAGGCGTGCCGGAGGTAGAATATTGCGACCATGCTATCACGCCTTGCGACAGCCTGTCGGCGCTGCTGACCGTGCCATGAGGCACAATTGATCACCTGCATAGCTCGCGGCTAGTATCCAGCATTCAGTAGGTAGGTAGGTAGTAAGGTGAAGAACAGCCAGGCTCGGACTGGACACCAACGCGGTATGGGTGGACGCTGGACAGATGATGACGACACGCACGAGCGACACACAGACACAAACAAGCTCACAAGACACATTCAGTGACGACCTGATCGTACGGCCAGTAGGAAGGTGTCCTTCCAGCGCGTGCACGCTTCTGACGCAATGCGCGTCACAAACTGCCTCGGATTGGCTGCTGGCACTCTCGCTCGAGGCTGTGCCTACACAGCCTCGCGCGCATGGGCAGTCAAGAGGGACCATGCACCTTCTCACGACAGCGCCGGTGCCTCTCTCTTGGACCGGCAAACGTGGGGGTCTCGTGTCACCAATGTGGGACCAGTGCGGCATCGCGCCATCGACAGCTCTGAACTGCGCCTCACCACTGACCGGGAAGGCCGCCAAGTGGGCCAGCACCGGTCACACATTGTGGCAGCAGTCAGCAGTGCATGGCTGATAGCTAGAGCAGCAGCGTCAGGGTCGCAGGGTCGGATCGTGTCAAGCCTCTCGCCCGGCCGGCCGCGTGCAGACGTCGGCCTGTCTGCTGTCTGGAGTGATCTGTCGGCGGTCAGTACGACCGATCAGGTTGGAGTTTTCTGGTTAGATGGTCTATCTGTATGTACTCCTTGAGATATCTCCAAATCTGCCCTCTGATTAATCGTGCTTAATCGGGAAGTCGGTGCTAACGGAGACTAGCGGAGCCGGGGCCCGCCGTTTCCGCACTGCGGCGCGGCGCACGGTGCCTCCGGGGGCCCCCGCCTCCCCCCAGAGCCCCAGCCAGTTCTTGGTGGTCCAAGTCACCTCATCGAGGTACTGGGCCCGAGTCAGCTTGTTCTGTAGTACGTTTCGCCGCCTTCCAGAGGATCTCGCCGACCCCCTTCCCGAACCCACCGAACCGATTCGAACAGCAGCAGCTGCACGTCTCCCTGGCGTAGCGAACCGGTAATCGCCGCCGTAAGTAGACGGTACGTGGCGGTCGCCGCCCACCGCCCTGCCCCCCCTGGAATCGTGGTATGCCAGCGAGCGACCCGTCCCTTGCCCTCTCTCGCCCTTGCTCTTCCTCTCCCCCTCCATGCCCCCCCCCCCCCCTTCGCAGTAGGGCCCATGCCCCTCAACAATGTTCAGGATGAAAAAAGAACATAAAAAAATAAAGTTTTTAAAACAACAACCGCGCGACAGAATTCTTTTATTCCTCAGCGTAAAATTCTTTTATTCCACCACAGCCCGGCGCCAAACGGCCCGGCCGCTCGCCGGAGCCGGAGCGCCTGTCCTCCGCGCGCCTCGTCGCCCCCGGGCGGCTCCCATGATCCAGGCCGGCCAGCGGTACAAGCTCTCGGGCCTGGCCGCGGCGCACCTCAACGGCAAAACGTGCAAGATTCGGCGGTACGACGAGGAGAAGAAGCGGTGGATTGTGGACCTGGATGCGGATCTCGAGAAGAACAACGATGCGCCAAAGGCGCTCCGCGCGGAGAACCTCAAGCCCATCACCGAGCCTCCGCTCGGAGGCCCCTCCACCCCTCCGCCAGCCGCAGCGCAGCCATCCGTTGCTCCGTCGGCGGTGGCGGGAGGAGGGGGAGGCGCGGCGACGACGCCGACGCAGACGGGCGCGGGGCTCTCAGCGAACGAGCCCACCGAGATCACGGGCGAAGAGTTCCGGCGTAGCGTCGCGGCGAAGGCCAGCATGGCGCCTCCGCTGACGCCGCCGTCGGCGGTTGTGGGCGCGGGCGGCGCGGCGGCGCGAGGCGGCGCGCCAGCCGCCAAGCGACGGGTGGTGCCGACAGTGGTGCCGACGGCCTCGGCCGCGGCCGCGGCATCGGTCCCAGCACCGCCGCCCGCCGCCTCTGCCGGTGGCGATGCTGCTCGCGTGGCGGGCTGCTCCAGGGTCGCTGCTGCTGCGAGGAGCCCCGCCTCCGTCTCCAACATGGACTTGGACGAGGAGGAGGAGGGGGAGGAGGAGGAGGAGGAGGAGGAGGGGGAGGAGGAGGAGGCTGCGAGCGAGGACGGGGATGCGGCCGACGGCGCGCCTCCTCGGCGCGCCGCCGACGAAGCAGGGCGCGAGGTGCCGCTATGGGGAGATGTGGGGAGACGTGGGGAGATGTCGGGAGGGCGCGAGGTGCCTCGCTAGCCGCATCTCAGCTGCACTGCCAATCCCGCCGCCGCCTCCTCCTCCTCCGCCTCCGCCGCCGCCACCGCCGCCGCCACCGCCGCCGCCGCCGCCGCCTCCACCGCCGACCCCACCCAGCCCGCCACCACCCTCCTCCCCGCCTCCCTCCCCGCCGCCACCCTTTCCGTCCGCACACCACCGCCCCCGCCACCCCTCCTCCCCGTCCGCCCCTCCTCCCACTCCGCAGGCGCTGGTCCGGCGGCTTCTCGACGCGCAGAACCGGGAGCGCGAGCTCGCGGCCCTTCTCGAGGACGGCGCCGTCGGACGCGCCCTCGGCGACGATGACGGCACCGGACGCCTAGAGCCGGACGCCTAGAGCCGGACGCCTGGAGCCGGACGCCTGGAGCCGGACGCCTGGAGCCGGACGCCTGGAACCGGGACGCCTAGACGCATGTCTTCCAACCCGCGCCCGAGAGGGCACGGACTCCGCTGCATCTCCCCACACCTCCGCTGCATCTCCCCATCTCCGCCACATCTCCGCTGCATCTCCCCGCATCTCCCCACATTTCCGCTGCATCTCCCCGCATCTCCCCGCATTTCCGCTGCATATCCCCGCATCTCCCGCATCTCCCGCATCTCCCAGCATAGGCTCCGGAGTCTCGGCCGAGAGGCTCAAGGCGGAGGAGCGGCTCCTCGCCGCCGCTGCAGACGAGGCCGCCGAGAAGGCGCGCGGCTCTACCGCCGAGCAGATGCTGCGCGACATGGAGGCGATGGCGTCCGGCGGGGGGGCGGCTGTCCCTCCGGCGGATAGCGGGCGGGGGGGCGGCGCGGCGTCGTCTGCGGCGGACGACGAGGAGTACTCGCCGGCGGTTGCGGCGGCGGCGGGCGAGGCGCTTGCTGCGGAGGTTGCCGGGTGGCGTGTGGAGTATGACGAGGCGCTCGAGCTGGTGGCCGAGCTGGAAGATGCGCTCGAGGCGAGAGGCGGCCGAGAGACAGCCGAGAGGCGGCCGAGAGACAGCCGAGGGACAGCCGAGGTGCGGCCGAGGGACAGCCGAGGGACAGCCCGTGTCCCCCCCCCCCCCCCCCTCCCGCCCAGGCGTCGGGCGTGTCGATCCTCGAGTTTGAGAGGGCGGCCGCCGCCGCAGACGCCGACGGCGGGTTCGGCGAGGGCGGCGCCTCGCAGGAGCCGCCCGCCGCAGACGCCACGCCGCGGTGCGAAAAGTGCCGCGCGCGACCGGCACTTTCCCTTGCGGCCGGCGGCGGAGGCGGCGGCGGCGGCGGCGGCGGCGGAGGCGGCGGCGGCGGCGGAGGAGGCGGCGCTGACAGGGCGCGGCCGCAGTCGCTTTGCTGGGTGTGCTCGGCGGACGCGGAGCTGGACGAGCGGCGTCCGCTCAAGTCGAAGCACGGGCAGAAGCAGGCGGCGGGCGCGTCTGGGTTCACCGGGTGGACCGCCGGCCTCCGCCGCACCGCCGACGCCAGGGCGCTCAAGCAGATGTACAAGGTGGAGCGGCCGCAGCAAATCGGCAGGCTGGCGCCGCTGCTGGAGGACGAGGAGACGCTCGAGGTAGACGAGCTTGCGTCGGAGGGGGAGGGGGAGGAGGAAGAGGAGGGGGGGCGGCCCGCCAAGCTGCCGCGCCTCTTCTCCCACGCGCGTGCGCGCGCGCGCGCTGCGAGGGCGGCCGATGAGGAGTCCCTTTCGGGCGACTCGTCGTCCGAGGGCGAGGGCGGGCTCGGCGGAGGCGGAGGGCTTTCCGAGGCGAAGCTGGCGCGCGCGTGGCGGGAGGAGCTCAGGCACGAGGCGGAGGGTGGCCGCCGGCTGGCGCCGCGCGTGCGGAAGGGCGGCCACGACGCCAGGGCGGGCTCGCTGCTGCAAAAGTGCTCGGTCTGCCGCCACCCGTTCTTCGAGTGCGCGCAGGTGTACGCGCACCCGCAGCTCGGCGTCCCCCTCTGCCACTACTGCCACGAGGCGGTGGTGGAGGAGGAGGGCGGCGGAGGCGGCGGCGGCGGCGGCGACAGCGCGATGCCGGAGGCGCCGCCAGCCGCAGCAGGCGAGGGCGAGGAGGGCGCGGCAGAGGAGGAGAACGAGGAGGAGGAGGAGGTGGGGGAGGTGTGCGTGTGGTGCGCCGGGCTCAACCACACCGGTGGCGGCGAGGGCGGCGAGCCGGACGTCTTCCTCAACAACATGCTGCGAGCCGCGTCTCTTCACACCTCCTGCTGTGAACAGGCGAGCCGGACGTCTTCCTCTGCGACGCGGCCGGCTGCGGGCGGGCGGTGTGTGAGCGGTGCATCCGCTCCAACTTGGGAGGCGAGGCGGCCGACGCAGTGCGCGAGGCGGAGCCGTGGCTGTGCTATGTTTGCGAGCCGGCGCCGCTCGCCCGTCTCGCCAAGCGATGCGCCGCGCTCGTCGCGCGGCGCAACAAGATCTCGCTCAAGCGCAGCCGCCGCGAGGCTCGCTGGCATGCGGCGGCCCCCGCCGGTCGCGGCGTGTCCGACCTCCCCTCCCGCGCCTTCACCTCCTCCCAAGACCTCGACGACGTCGACGACGCCGCCGCCGGGGGCGCCGCCCTGCCTGCGGGCGACGGCCGAACGGGCGGCGACAGCCGAACGGGCGGCGGCGGCGGCGGCGCGCGCGCAAAGTCCGCCGCGGAGCTGGCACACGAGGCGCAGGAGGCGACGGCGGCGGCGATCGCCGCCGCCGCGGCGGAGGAGGAGGAGGAAGACGCGCGGGCGCGCGTCATCACGCTGTGGGCGGCTCGTGGCGAGGCCGGCGCGGTGACGGTGCTGCCGCGGCTGGCGCGGCAGCTCAAGCCGCACCAGGAGGAGGGCGTCCACTTCTTGTGGGGGGCGTGCTTCGGCTCCAAGCGGGCTGACAATGCGAAGCGGCGCGAGCACGGGTGCGTCCTCGCGCACTCGATGGGGCTCGGCGAGACGTTTGTTTGCCTCCTCCCCGCCCCGCCCCCCCCCCCCCCCTCTTCACACCTCTCCGCTGTGAACAGGCAAGACGCTCACCGTGATCTCCTTCCTCCACACCGCCCTCACGCGCGCTCGCACGGTCGAGGGGCGCTTCTACGCGCAGATGGGGCGCAACGCGGCGGTGGCCTAGTGCCCGCCGACGGCGGTCCTTTAGTGAGCAGCGTCTCTTCACACGTCTAGCCGTGAACAGGTGGCCGACGGACCGCCGACGGCGCTGGTGCTCGTGCCCAAGAGCGTCGCCACGCAGTGGGAGAGCGAGTTCGGCAAGTGGCTGCTCGACCAGTGCGGCAACCAGGCCGCGAGCAACCCGAGGAACCTCCGCTGGCAAAAGTTCCCCGACGCGGGCGCGCTCAAGCGGTCTCACTCGGGAGACGGGCGCGGCGGCGGGCTCGAGCAGCAGCGGCTGCAGGCGCTGCGCCGCTGGCGGAGGGAGGGCGGCGTGATGGTGATGGTGCACGACACGTACCGCTCCGTCCTCTCTTCCGCAAAGAACGACGGCGCGGAGCGGCAGGCGCGGGCGGCCGCCCAGACGGCCGCTGCCGCCGGCAGCGCCTCCGAAGCGTATGGCGGCACGAACGGTGAGGCCGTGGCGGCCTTCAACGCGGCGGTGGCGGCGGCGCAGGCCGCGCGCGCCGCAGCGGACGCAGCGGGGCAGGAGAGGGAGCGAGAGCTGGCGGAGTACCGGCGGCTGCTGCAGGACCCCGGTCCGGACGTCCTCGTGATCGACGAGGCGCACGTGATCAAGAATGAGAAGAACCAGCTGCGCGCGGTCCTCGCCGGCGTGCGCACGATGCGGCGCGTGTTGCTGACGGGGACGCCGCTCCAAAACAACTTGCGCGAGTACTTCCACATGGTGGACTACGCGTCGCCAGGTTCCCTCCTCTCCTCTTCTCTTCTCTTCTCTTCTCTTCTCACATGGTGGACTACGCGTCGCCAGGCGAGCTCGGCGACCTCGACACCTTCAAGAGGCTGTACGAGAGCACCATCACCGACGGCCAGTTCCGGTACGGCGAGGACGACGACGAGTCGCGCTCGCAAAGGGCAAAGACGCGGCGCGAGGTGTGTCCGAGCCACTTCCGGCACACTTCCGGCACACCTGCCGGACACTCCCTAGGCAAAGAAGCGGCGCAAGGACATGTCCAAGCGTATCTGGGCCCTCACGCGCAAGCTCGACAAGCTGGTGCAGCGGCGGGGCGTCGAGGTGCTGCAGCGCGACCTGCCGCGCTCGCAGCAGTACGTGATGGTCCTGCGGCCGACGCCGACGCAGCGCGCGCTCTACAACGCCAAGGTCGAGTCGATGGCCGGGCGGCAGCAGCTCTTCGAGTTCATGACCGACATGCTCCGCATCTACAACCACCCCGCGGCCCTCCTCGACCCAAAGACGCTCGCCCCGAACGCCAAGCTCGTCGCGAAGGCCGCCGCCGCCGCCAGCATCGACGCCGCCGCCGCCGCCGCCGCCGCCGGGGCCGCCGCCGGGGGCGCGCCGTCCCCGCACTTCCCGCCGGCCGCGCCGGCCGGCGGCGCGGGGGTGGGGGTGACGTGGCTCGAGCGGGCGTGGCCCGCCTCGCGGCGCGGCAACCCTGCGGCTGCCTTTGGCCCGGAGGTGTCGTCGAAGGTCGCGGTGGCGCTGGCGCTGCTGCAGCAGGCGGCGCGCGCGGGCGAGCGCATCTTGCTCTTCTCGCAGTCGCTCGAGTCCCTCGACGCGCTGCAAGTGGCGCTCCGCTACGCGCCCTCGCCCCGCCGCGCGCGCGCGGCCAAGGCTTTCTCGCCGGGCGGCCCGCCGCCGCCGCCCTCGCCGGGCGACGGCGGCGAGGGCGGCGTGGGGTGGCAGCCGGGCCTCGACTACCTGCGCCTCGACGGCAAGACGTCGGGGGACGAGCGCGACGGGATGGTCAGGCTGTGAACGGCGTCTCTTCACACCTCACGCTGTGAGCAGGTCGGGGGACGAGCGCGACCAGATGGTCAAGCAGTTCAACGCGCGCGACTCTGCGATCCGGCTCTTCCTCATCTCGACCAAGGCGGGCGGCCTCGGCCTCAACCTCGCCTCTGCCTCGCGCGTGATCCTCTTCGACGCCTCTTGGAACCCGTCGTCGGACGTGCAGGCCGTCTTCCGCGACACTTCCTAGGCACTCCCTAGACACTTCCTAGACGCCTCTTGGAACCCGTCGTCGGACGTGCAGGCCGTCTTCCGCGCCTACCGCTACGGCCAGCGGCGGACGGTCTACGTGTACCGCCTCATCGCGCAGGGCTTCGAGGAGTGCCTGTACCGGCAGCAGGTGGTCGAGCTGCAGCTCGCAGGACAGACACGCCGACGGCACGTCGCTGACACGTCCCTCACGCGTGTGTCCCCCTCCCCCCCTCCCCCCCCACGTCCCGTAGGTGGTCAAGCTGCAGCTCGCCGGCCACATCATCGACGACACGCACGCGGAGGCGATGTACACCGAGGAGGAGCTCAAGGCGTACTACGCGCCGCTCCCCGCCGTCGACGCGGTTGCCGGCGCGTCCGACGCCTCGCGCCCCGGTGCCTCCCCCCCCCCCC